CCCCAAAACCCCAAAACCCCTCAATACTAGAATGAATCATGGAATTTAAATTATTAAAATTTTTAATAAATAGCAAATTGAATTATAATTATATAAATTTAACTAAAAAGGTATGTCATTTTGTAAATGGTTAATAGGATTTTTTGTAATCATTACCGGACTTTTATAAATCAAAAGTATCATTAATTTCATTGACTATTAACTAGACTATTCATTGGTATTCAGAAATACTGGTAATCAGTTTCTTGAAAACATACAAGGATTCGATATAGATCATTTCAACGATACTAATGATAGATATGATTTTACTTTGAGTATCTGGGTAAAACTTCTTGAAAATCCTAGCCTAACATCAAATATCGTTTAATGGGGCTCTTTTATCACTCTAACTGTGCTTGGACCATCTCAACAATTGACTTATTCAAATTTACTTGGCTGGAATGATTCTTCTGAAAACTAATTTAAAATTTAACTTATAGAATGATAATGGTTTAGAATTACTGCTCTCAAAAACGAGACTGCATTCACATTGTAAGATAATTATTCACAAAGAAAATTTTAACTCTAAATATATTATAGATTGATAAACAATGCTAAAAGACAGGAATTAGATACTAAGAAAATTAAATTCGATTTTTCAAGAGTAAGTTTAAGTAAAAGAAATTCTTCATATTCTAACTAAGCCTTAGATTTGATTAGATTAGTGATTAAATCTTATTTTAGAACATGAGCACTCATTATTCGATTGGGCAAAATTAGAAACTAGATTTTCTCTTGAGAGATTTTGCTTTTTGGAAAATTGCTGTGCCGTTTGAAGAAATAGTCCAAATAGGATAGCAGTAAGTTAAATGCATGAGAATTAAATTTCTTAATAAGAGTGGGAGACATTAAAGTGCAGTGGTAACACTTGATCAGATATTACAAACTTACTCTGATTGAAGTTGGAATCTATTAATACGACTATTCACCTCATGAGTAGCATTTCAGATTTAGAATATCAAAACCAGACAGCTCAATGTATTACTTCGATGACTAAATGGAAAAGTAAATTGGATTCGCAATGATAAGCTCATACTTAAGTCCTTTGTAGCAATCTGTTAACATAACTGATTTCGTTTCTAGGGAGAAAATAATTAAGATACCTATTTATCCAAAAATATTCAGTTCTATCACTTTTGAATTTTGGTATAAATTTTCTAGATCTGACCTCGTTGGGTTTCACTTTCATTTTCTGTCAAATAGCGACGATATAACTAACTTCCACATAAGAACTGAAAAAACTGACGCATCAACTATGGTTGTGCAGATGATGTAAAATGCAATGATTTAGAAGCACAAGTAGAAATTAAGTAATGGATTGTGGTAAAATATTGTTGTTGGCTATGATAAAAAAAAGCCGATCATACGTACCGCTGTTGACTTAGATTTTATTGATAATACATCCCCAATAAATACTGGTAAGCATAGAGTTATAAATTTTACTTTAGATTTTTAATTCACACGACAATATATTAATTTTGCGAATGCATATTTTGGAGTAGAAAATATCAACTCATTGATGTTTTATATGAAGGAAATTAGAATTTGGGACATATTTAGAACTAGAGCTTAAATAATTAAGCAAATTAGACAGTAAATTCTAATCCCTGATTAATATAAATAGAACAATGAAAAACTATCCTGGTGCAGGTTTAGTTAGTTATTGGAGATTAAACCAAGATTCTTATGGAGATAATTATTTGATAGATGACTCAAGAAATCCTCAATACATCACACTGACAAAAAATCTAATCTTTTCAGTTGCTGAAGAGCTCTATGTAAATCTCTGTGAAATTTACCATGAATATAACGACAAAACATAAATCTGTGAGGCTGAAGTATAAACCTTACTATACCTTAATTTTTAGACTGATAGTAGCCATTAAGTTTGTAATTTTTTTATTTTCTTGGGTAACTATTATAGTCTATATTAATGCTAATGGATTAAGTAATCTGTTAGTAGAATTTTGGTTTTATTGCTAATAAACCAATGATGCCATAATTTTCTAGAATAATAATCCCCAACTATTTAGTGTCTCAACAAAAGAAATAAATGAAGATATTTCAATCAAACTTGCCTATAATAATAAAAATAATCAATAAACCTACATATCTGATTATAAATTTTCAAAAGATAGTTGGGTCCATTTGTCTGTATCTCATACTATAATATCTGCTGCATAAATTAGCACTATTTAAGTGTGTATCATGCTATTTTGCTTTGACTCCTTTGAACTGGATATTTCTTAGATTTCCTACACTAATAATGCTAAGATAGGAAAATCATTTAAAGGTTCTTTTAGGGAATTGAGACTTTGGAATACAAGAGAAAAATTATTTCGAGATGACTATTTTCATTTTTTCAAAAGAGATATAATTAATCCTACATAGACTCCAAGATTAGTTGAATACTGGAGATTAGATTCATCTGAATATGGAACTGTTAGCGCAATATATTCAACTTTAGATTACATTTCAATACAAACTTCTATTCAAAGAGAGAAAATAAGTCCTTTGCAATTATGCGAATACGGTAGTTACTACAATGGAGCTTCTTGCAATTTCGACAATTTCATCCCATTCAAAGATGATATTTTGGATAGAATAAAATTACTTCAAATGAATTTGACAGCTATTCCAATAACTTACTCTTTTGGCTTTTGGTTTAAATTTGGTTCATTAGGTAACAGATTCATTATGAGTGGCAAAGTACCTTAAATAAGCAATTTTATAGCATTGTTTGTAGGGCCAAATCCAGATAACTTCTTAAGGATCTATCATAATAACTGCGAAAAAACTATATTTTCAAATTATTTAGATGACATTGGAATAAATTGATGGTTTCAGCTGACGATTTCCAAAGTTAATATCATACCTGATATCCTTAATATAAATATATATTTGAATAGTTTGAGGGATGTGCCTTTGTAATAACAAAGTATAGATCAGAATGAGTGTTCATACACTTTTGCCAACAATAATTCTGATAGCGAGATATATTTTGGGTAAGTTTCATCAGATAATGCATTAATTGGAATAAGAAATTTTTACTTTTTGGCTAATTAAATTATGACTTTAAGTGATATTAACATTACCTCAAGAGTTCCTTGGAAGATATACAAGTTATAGCCTACCTTTTACATACCATTTAATGAATCAAGAAATATTTGGTCTTATGACCTTGCAAATAAATAATTTGTTATAAATCTCAGATAAAGAAATACTGGCTAACTTTATTGGGTTCATGATGATTACTCTCCTATATTTTGCAATGGCTATTATGAGACTCTTGACTTAGATACGAAATTATGCCAGGGTAAGTTTATCTTAGAATTAAAATTTAATAGAGAGAAAAGCCATTTATTTTCATTAGTCAAAATTGCAAATCAATAGTTTACCATTATAATAAACTTGGACTTAAAATTATGATTTTAGCTATGGCTTATATTTGAAACTTGATTTTCTTGGTCATGAGAAACGTGGCCATATATATACTTTTAATCATTAAGGTCCAGTTGAAGATCAACTGCAATTGGGTTACTATTGTTGGAAGGTGCAGGATTCTTTAAGAGCAAATTTTGAGCATTATATTCATGGTTATGAAAATAACAAAACAGACACACTGTCTTTTAATAATGCCTGGATTCATTGGGCAGTTGTTAGAAATACTAACTCAGGATTATATTAAATATATATAAGAGGTATAAAGAAGGATAAATTAAATGTTCCTATACCTAAAAGAGATGTATCTTTCAATTTTAAAGTCTAATTTGGAGATGATATCACAGATGGTAGCATATAATTTTTTGCAATGAAAGGAAGGATAAGTGAATTTAAAATGTACAATGTCGCTTTAAATATTTAGCAAGTTTCCTAATATATGCGAAAGTAAGATTATAATCTTTTCTAATACATTAAAAAATAGTTAAAACTAGAAAGATGGCAATCTTGTATTATACTATACTTTTTAAGAGAGAATCTATGATTCAATTTTATACGACCATTGTTCTAACACATAAATTTAAATGAGAGTTTCATACTCCGCTAATTTGATTTATTTATCTTATGTTGATCATGATTCCTTCATATGAGAATCTTCTTTTGGTTTGACAAATGTATTTAATGGATAGAATTTAATATATACAGGTTTTGATGGGCCAGCATTGACATAATACACTATTCAATTTCAATTTTACTTTGTAAAAGATTACAATGCTGGAGTTATATTTAAAATAATGCTAAATATTTAAGATTGGATTAAAATCTAACACTTCAATGATGCTTATTATCAAATAACCTTTTTAAAAAACAATGAGGAGGTAAAAACTTATCCTGCCCCAGATATTTCGATTATGTAGTTTAAAGCCTTTGCAATGACTTATCCAGGAAATATAAATGATTAAAAAACCCTAAGAGTCTTCATTGACAATCAAATTTATGACTTAAAACTTATAAATAATCAAAATCTTCCAGTTATATACAATAAGAATATTGAATCAGGTTAAAATACTTATTTAAGAGAGATTAGAATATGGAGTGATAGAATGACTGATTAATTTATATTGTAGACTAATTAGAAAACGCTTGATGGGTACTATTATTCTAATCTTATATTTTACGATCTGAACGAGTTTCATCAAATTTGGCCTAATTATCCTTAATTTTTTTAGAAAGGTATGAAGATAGAGGACAAATATCTAGATGTTGCAGCACCAGGTAATGCTTAACCATCAATCTGTCTTGACAATTAATATTTCAATGGTTAGGCTTGCAGTACATATTCCTATTTGTATCTAAGAAATGATTTGCTGTGCGACTTAAAAATACCTATCAAAGGTGTGAAAGAATATCAAGCTCTTCAAATAGATTTTTGGATGCTACTTATGCCTTAATAAACCTGGGTGAATGTCATTTATATACCTATTGGAGGTGTCGCAATTTCACTAACTTTCCCAGAACTTAATGATCTATTAAATCTTTACTGTTTTAATTTTGTTTCTGGGTAACTCAGCACTCCTATACCAGTAAATACTATTTCTAGAATTGATCAGAATACTAAAACAAAGAGATTGTGGAGAAAGCTCATTATAAGAATATTCTCCTCTTCAACTTAATTTAAAGTTAGCTTTGCTACAGACCTTCAAGTTCCTTATGAAATAAATTTGTTTCAGTATGTAAGTATTCACAATATGAGCTAACTTAATGAACTTTAATTTTGCAACACTCAATGTGATTTATCCATATCCCATCTAATCGTGAGGAATAATCATTTAATGTATCCAGATTTAAATTCATTATTTGCAAAACCTAGTCCAGATACTGTACTTGCTTATTTTCCTTTAAATGAGGGTATTGGAGATACTCTATATGATATGAGTTATAATTAGTTGGAAGCTAAAATAGTTAGAAATGATGAGAGAGATTAGTATTTTAATTGGAGGTAGATTAAATAGATTTCAAATGTAGCTGAAAATATTTTAATGTGTGATTTGGATGAGATTTATGATGAAGATAGAGGTGTCTGTATCAAACAGGATTTTTTATAAATGAGATTTTTGAAACTAGCTGCTCCAAATCATACAACTCTTCTCAATAACCCAGTTAATGACTATAGTATGGATTGGACAATGAATTTATGGTTAAATTATTAATTGAGAGAAGTACCTGATTAGGATGATAGCTTGATAATTTTAAGTAGTTTTGATTTTTGCTAAAGCAATGCAGAAGATTAATAATAAGCAACATCCTACTTCTTAAAAGTCTATAAAAATATTTCTTCATCAAAAAATTAGATTATATTAGGGGCTACTGATAGTCATTCTGACTATGATGAAATATTAGAAGACAGAATGATATCAGAGAATACTTGGATTTTCGTGAGTATCTCTAATAGGCTAAAAGACTAATCATTTATTTAGGCAATTTACGCTCAGTTTCAAACACCTTAAACTCAAAATTAAAGGACTGGTTTACTTAAACTTACTAATTGTCCTATAAATATTGGTTAAAGAGGAGATTAAAATAACAAAACAATGTCATCTGTAAGAAGCTCATTCATGCTTAAGGATCTTCGCATTTGGAACACTTACAAGTATAATGAATAAATTTCTCTTAATGCCTTTGAAAGATCCTTGTATCAAGGAGAATTGAATTTGGTAAAGTATTTTAGATTTTATAGAGATAGAATAGTAGAAGTTATATCATAATATCAAGTAACACTAGGAAATAATATATACATGAATTAGATAGGGAATTACTTTAATATTGAATGTCCATATGGATTCAAATACTCTCCTTCTAGCTAATAATGTGAATGTAATAAAAATTTGATATTTAGCATTTATTTCAGATTAAAGGTATGCAAATTATTTAACGGGAGATTAAGCTATTAATAATTCAATATATAAAATAGCTAATAAAAGAATTAATTAAGACAATGGTAAGTTGCTAATTTATCTGTAATTTTATAGAGTTTTCCTTTTCACTAATGATGCATTTCAATATTGATGATGGTGGATAAGATGATCTACTCAATATTGATAATTTCATCGATATCTTTTGTGATAACAAGACATTCTATATAACTCTATACTATAGAGTCTAATCAAAACCTTCTGAGCAAATCATGATTAATCTGACTGGATAAAGCGATATAAAATGGGGATTACATTATGATGTTGATAATAACTTATTCAAAATAACTGTAGGTACAGTATTGCATTATAGCGTTTCAATGACCATTGACGAGTTTCCACTTCCAGAAAAATGGGAAATATTGTATGGATATAACAATAGAAATTAATCTGGCAAAATAATGATTATTAGCTAAATGTTCTTTTCACCATCAATAAGTTAGTGAGAATTGGTTAAATTTGTCGATTTAGGGTATATGCCTACAAGATCTTATTAAGGAGCTTAAATCCTAAAATATCTTGATAAAACTGCAGCATATGAAGCTTAATTTGGCCAAGCTCCCATAGATATAATGACTGGTATAAAAGATTATACCTATTAGAGTGTTGCTAATAATCCCTAATTGATAGCTCAGAATTACAATTGTAGAGAAGGTACTATCAAGCATCCATTAAATAAAAACTGCATCATCCCATACTCACTTACAATTAATAATCAGCAACTTTAGCTTAATGTACTAGCTCTACAAATAGGCCACTCTACTACCGTGTAGTTCTGGTCATACTTATTTAAGATGGGTGATGAATAAAAAAATATAACATTATTGGAGGTTGAAAATCTAAGTGGAATTGGATTTTAAGATAGGAATTTAATATTTTACCATTTTTAATAAACGCCTAACCTTCTAAGGAAAGAAGAAAAATTTCCAATCAGTCCTGATATCAGTTCAGGATGGTTTAAATATCATATGGTATTATACAATAATACATGGAATATATATACTAATGGCGATTTGATAATGTCTGTGCCAGATTTGATAGGGAACTATGAGAATATTGAATTTAGTTCTATAAATATAAATGTTACGAGTGATTAAAATTACAAGATGAAGATATCTGAAATTGCCATCTTCGGTTATCCGTTATCTCAATCCGCAATAATTAAAAATTTAAACTCTAAGATCAGTAAAGATATTTATCTGAATACTCTCCTAGTCTATTATTAATTAGACGAGAGTTACGGTTATAAACTCTATGATTACTCCAAATATGAAAGATCAACTATATTAAGTAATTTGAATCGTATTTACTGGGATTATAATCCTAAAGGTGTTTAAGGCTCAAACTTAATGTCACAGCACTCTGAGATTTAAACAAGAGATAAAGCGCTTTTCTTTAAGTACTAAGTTGATAACTAAACATAGTTTAACTTTGCAAAAAATAATGTCAAAATTGGATAAGATCTCTCTTTGAGTTTTTGCTATAGATTTTTAAATGTTTCCGAATTATTACTCAAAAGAGGTGTCATTATGTTTAATATTATCGATGTAATGGATATCTAACTAGACATTAATACAATAAGTGAGATTTAATTCAATATTTATCCATTGCATTCTTAATTAGTTGGAACTGAATTCCCACTAATTTAAATTGATAGCACTATTCATCAATGGAAATGTCTAGTGTATGGAATTTAACTTACCGAACCATTTGCATATTTCTCATTAATAGGGGTAAAAATAGAACCAAACTAATCTTCTTTGAGCTAGATAACTATTAATAATAACTAACCCTTAGTAGAAAGATAAGTAATAATTTATCCTCTAAACATGTTTATCAAAGAGGTCAAGATATTTTCAAATTTTATTACATTAGGCAACATGATAAAGCTATCAAGATAAGTAGTTAACCCTCTGTTGTATTGGGGGCAGTATTTGACAATGTACTATCAAATGGATGAATCTATTGGTAATAAACTTTTGGAGTCCAAAAGTGGAGTTTACTATGAATTTAATATGGCAGAGGGCAATAAGTTAAAGCCTTAATGGGTATCTCAAGATCCCTAATTGATAGTTTGTGAAGGTGATTCAAGATATTCTACTTTTGACTATTGTTAGCCTCGAGAAAAATTTCTACTTTTGCCTTTTTAAGAATTGAATTTTCCAATCATCTCTCCTCCTTAATCAAATTTTACTACTATAATGTGGCTACATGTCAAATAAATAGGACCATTAAACGCCTTTTTAGTTGAGTATTAAGAAATGTTTAAAATTAGATTAATGAAAGAAAAGAAATTGAATTACAAAATAGGGGATTCCTCCTCCGTTTAGCTAGACATTAGCAAAGCAATAAAAGATGCCAAATGGATTTTGCTATTTTAGATGGCTAATACTGACTCTAATTATTCCTGCATCAGTGTAGTTTACAATATAGAAACTAGTTCTCAAATTCAAAATATATCTAAAATCATCACAAAGCAATTTAAATTTTCAGAGAATTTGTTAGCCAGAAACATTAGTATATAGACTGGTAATTCATCTAGAATTTTCATTAGAGATTTTTAATTCTGGAACGCACCTCTTTCTTTGGGATACTATCTTACATATCGAATGCATAGAGGTCTTGATCCAATAGTAATGGCAAGCAAAGGTCTGATCATATACTATAAATTTGATGAGTCAGGAGGAAATACTGTGATAAATTCAGCTTAACCCTTTAAACCAATTGACACATTCACTGCTTCTTTCCTCTAGAATGATGATTTTAAATGGTATTATTACAGCTCGCTTTAAATGAATAACGAAACTGACTCTATTGATAAAAGATACTTTATGTTCTGTAAAGACCCTTATTCAAGAATCTTAAACAAGCATTGCGATTATTATGATCACTGTAACAAATCTTTATCCAAGCTAGATGACTGTATAAGTTAAGATCCTAATTCTACTGCTAAATGCAACAATAGCTTGAACTACATCTATTCGATGGAATATTAAGACTGCTAAGACTGTTATTTCGCTTGCTAGTTATGCAACTAATCTTATTCTAGGTAAATCTTACAAATCAAGAATTTATATAGATATGAGTGTGTAAATTGCAAGCCAAGTTATAATCTGAGAGATGGTCTCTGTACTTAAGAATGTGATTAATATTAATATTACATCAATGGTACTTGTTAAGGTAAGATTTAACAAAAATATCATGCTTATCTTAGATTGCACTGATCCACTGTGCATATGTCTAGAGGATAATTTGACAGCTTGCGCGTAATGCAAAAATTCTTCTCATATTTATCTAGAAAACTAGTAGAAATGTTTAGACATCTCACCAGACTTTAAATACTTTGACTTTAGCACTAGCACTCTTGACAAGTGCCATCCATACTGCAAGTCATGCTTCGGTTAGAATTAATACACCTGCTTTGAATGTGCTGAGAATATCACTCTCATTAGCAAATACTTTTGTAACTCTGTGAACTGTATGGCAGCTGGAGAGATAATCAAAGTAAACAGCGATTTGAAAAATTCAAATTCTACTGGGGAATGTGTGCCATGCCTTTCACCTTGTGTGACATGTGTTAACAAACCTGATTATTGCACTTCATGTGGAGATGACTATTTACTAATTGATGGAGCATGTCTAACTTGCTCTTCATTGAATGGTTTCAACTACCCTATCATTGGATCAGGCACTAAAGGTTAAAGATGTACAGAAATTTGTGGTGATGGCTTAAGATTCAATTAGAATCAATGTGATGATGGAAATCTAAACGATGGTGATGGATGTTCTTCTTAGTGTAGAGTAGAGAGCAATTACAAGTGTTTAGGGGGTTCAACTACATCAAAAGATATATGTCAAGATACTCTTGGCCCGACTGTTTAAATATTATCTATTGGATCAGAGAGCAGATTTATAATCTTGGAATTCTCTGATAACTATGGATAAGTATTCACTGATGCAAAGAAATTTGGAGAATAAGATTTTTATTTTCACTTTGAAGGGATTGATGTAGATGTGCCTAGTTACTCTGTAAAAGGGGAGATACATGATGATTTTAAAAAAAATAAGAGGATATTTCTAAACTTTTCACCAAAGTTCTCTATCCCAGATGAGGGTGCAACACTATCTATTGGTTTCAAAAATTCTTCACTGTTCTATGATCAGTATTTTAATCCAATATCAATACTCTAGACTAATAAATTCAAGCTACAGAAGTTTGAGTACAAAGATCCTAGATATTTCAAGGCAATTACTGATGCAGCATCTTCTGTTAGTCATGGAACATAGGTGCTTTTGGCTATTAATTTGATATTATCAGTTTCTCTTGACAAGGCTCTTGACTCTTTATATTCAGCTATTAATTCAGTCCAAATTTTATTTTATTTGCCCTTGATTGATATTCCTTTTCCAAATGAAGTTTACCAGATATTTAAGTATTTGTCTTATGCAAATTTTGAAAATTAGTTGATTAAAGATCCCATATCAAGTGTGATAAATTTTGATAATATTTCTGATAGTCCCATAAACTAAGTCTTCAACAATTATGGCTATGAAAGCCAAGTATTTTTGAAATCTTATCAATACAAACTTGGAATGATATTCGCAATATATTGCTTTTATCCACTAAGTTAGCTATTCAAGAACTTCAAAAGCAAAAACTTTTAAATCTTCAAAGCTATGGATAATTTCTTTTTATGGAATGGATCTCTGAGATTAGGTTATGAGCTTTACTTAGAAATGGGTATTTATGCCTATCTTAATCTTTACAACATCCAGTACGATAATCTAGATCAAATAGTCTCCTCTATTATTGCCATTATAGCCATGGCTTTTGTTACATTCTTTCCTTTGATTACAATGAACTTGGTTCAATAAAATGGATCAGCTAACAAAAGTACCAAAAATAGATTTAACACTTTGATGGAAAATTTTAGAGAAATACGCATCACCCAATATGTGAATGGATAAAGGCAACTGATTCATAAATCATTACTGCCTTAATTACACTTTTCAGCATTTTTATTTCGGAGATTATTGTACATATGGATTCTGGTGCTTTTAACAGGGTATCCTGCACTTTAAATAATGCTCTGCATTTTAAAAACAATTGGAATGCTTTCTTATTTGATATATGTGTAACCATTCAAGAATAAGATCAACAATGCAATGAATATCTTTAATGAGACTCTCACAGGAATTGCCTTCTCTGTATGCTTCATTTTTGAAAGAGGAATGAATGAAAGTAAAAGAAAGTACTATGGATGGGTTATAATAGGATTAGCTTCAACTATTCTTGTTGCAAATTTAGTAGTGGGTATATTTGAAACAATGAAAAATTTAAAAGTGATTCTAGGCTGTCTAATATTAAGAGTAAAACAAACTCTTAATCGTAAGACTCGAAATGAGAATAAAAATATTAAGTCTTCTTTACAAAACATAAAGAAGAGGAAATCAATGAAAAATAATAATTTTAATGTTAAAAGCATATCTAATAAATCGGCTGCAATGTAATTGAGTCATGGAATGAATGATCCAAATAATACTTTGTTGAGCATCAGTTAAGGCACCTCATAATTCAATCACACAGATTAATCAACTATTAATCAAATAAATGATTTAAATCAATCCATAGACAGCTTTCTTTCTCCTTAGAGAAATTTAGCAACCATTGAATTTGACAGATTTTAACAAAGAGCAAATACATTTTCATCATCCTAATAAAAAAGGGATTCATTTATTAAGTTGAGAAATGCTTTTAAGAAGAATTAGCAACATCAAAATTCAGTTATATTTAAAGAGGATGAAATCATTTAACAAGATAGAAATGATAGTTTTAGGAACAGCTAAGAATTAACTGTACCTTAATCTCCTAATATTCTTGATTATGCTGGTAATAGATAAGATTAATGAAGAATAGAATAGATTACAAGCTATTTAACTAGAAAAGTATTAAAAAATTATATTAAAGCTCTATCAAACTGGAATATTATGATTATTAAATTATTTAAGCATCAAAGCACAAATAAATTTTGATCATGGGGTTTTGGGGTTTTGGGG